AATTATTGAGATAAGATACCCATGTCTTTGACCAAAATAGAGACTACTGAATATAACAGCCAACCCAGTTTATAATTTCTAAGCCCCTTGGAAATAAAACAAAAGAAAGGTCAAAGGTCACTGTTGCCTTCAGACACTAGCCACTGGGCAACTTCTTGACCTGGCCAGAAAACTTGCAACAAATTAAAGTTCTGGAACTGGGGAGATTTAGTCATTGTTTTTGAGCTTGTGGAACGAAGGAGTTGATAGCAGCAGTTTACCCAGTTAGCAGGCAGGCTCTCCACACAGCTGTGCTGGCCTATTTCAATCAGGATCTTTTCAGACTTACATCACCTTGGTATGCCAGTCCTAAGCTACTCATGAGCCAGTGCCGCCAATCAAGCCAAAATTCAGCCACATGGCAGGCTTTTATGATATCGACAGAAAATGACATGAATTTGTCTCATTCTGATTAAAACACAAATCTTAAAGGCCCCTTTCTGAAGAAAATGAGCAACAGTGGTAAGAATGAAACCAAACTCAGGCTTTCTCCTACGATCGTCCCAATTCACTCAACCAGTAGGTTATTCATCGTGATTCAAAGGCCACTCTCACTCAGAGTGAGGTTTGGATCCTCATCCTGAGATAAGGTCACTCTAAAGTCACCTGACTCATGAGAAAGTAGAGAGTGCATTTGCTGAAAGGGCAGCATGGAACTTAAATAATTGAACTCAAGAAAGTGTCAGTCCTGGAGCCTGAGAGATACACAAATTAAAATCAGAACTGTCATTTTACCAAAGAAATTGGACTGTACACACGAAGAAAGAGGGAAGAAACTGGAAGACTCAGGGCCACCCTGGGTGGAGCCTATCAGTCCTATCAGTCAAGTTCACGAGCACATTTCACACTTGTGTACAAAGGGCATCATCAGGATACTGCAGTAGATGGAGAGAAACTTGTGCCTTATATTAATATAAATTCACACTAATATAAACCCTTAATTTAACTGTAGTGCATAAGAATAAATTTGTGCCACAATCTCAGAAGATTGCTGTCCACATTCCTTTATAGAAGGTATTTACAGAAGGTACCAACTTGATTAACCATTACCTAAAGGGACAGACATGTATCCATTTTTGTTATCCCACTTTTTCTCAAAAGTCTTCACTATCCAAAGAATCTTCTGAGGATAAACTTCCCCAGTATACCAAGTTTCTTCCATGGTTCACTAGTGACCACTATTGGACATTGTTCCCTGAGCTAATATATAGTACATTGGTTCTCATTAGAAATGATTCTGAGTATCAGGACATCAAAATCACTAAAAATTGGAACCCAAGAAGACCAGAAACTTCACAAAACCAGAAGACATAGTTTTACAATAAATGCCATTATGTCCTATAGACTTATAAAGAAAATTCTTAACTTTGATTTGAAGATGGTATAGATATGAGAATAAAAAATAGACGGAGAGTGAGAAGTTCTTTAGAAGGACTGAATAGGCACACTTGAGAGTGCCCATACACTCTCTCTTCTGGATCAGAACACAATCTGTTGTAATAAGGGATTTAACATTCATTCCACAGGCTAATGGTGCTTCTCACCATCCAAGATAGATTCATTTAGATAATAGTGGAGGAGAGTGCCAGAGGAACTGAAAGGAATGGACTATTGTATTTGACTAGTTTCCATGTATAAGTTAGTGTAGAGACAAAAAAGAAATTCAACAGAAGAACACATGTACTTTATTATAATTCTGAGTGTTACTTGCAGTTCTCAAAATAGCAGGGGAAAGACCTTACAATCACTTAATAGAAACAAAAAGCGAATGCAGGCTTGATTAGATATGTTTCTGACAGGAAGAGATTTGACTTCAAGAGTAGATGGACACAAGCGCCAATGGCCAGTTATGGATTTGGCCACATTTCTTTTGGTCTCAACAACTGAGGCAAAGGGCAGGAGGGTGGGAAGATAGGTAACGTATTTTTAATATGACCTGAATAGCAAAATAGAACCTCTTGATCAGTCTGTGGAGTAAAAAGAAGTCTACAGTGACATGGTTACTGTGCATTAAAAGATGGACAGTAAACTCAGATAGGCGCAAACCACGCTGGGACCTCACTCTCTCCCGAATAATGTTCTAGGAGAAAAAGACTGTCCATAACATTCCGTATTTGCACACATTCAAGAACCAAGTTCTGATATATATTATTTAGCTGTCAATGAAATGAAGGCTATTTTGATCAGGCAACAACTGGGCTTGCCACTATACAGACAGGATATGCTTAGTCAATTCTAATACCGGACAGACTCTTGCAATATATAAAAGAACTACAGAAATAACAAATCCTCAAATTCAATTTCTGTATCAAGCCTGAAAGTTGAGCTGATGATGTCATACTTTGTTTCTAAGTCAACTACAGGTCAGGCTAAAGTTTGCTTTCTCTTAAGCCAATAATTCATTTTGGCTACAAAGTCAAACAAGGCAGTTAATGACAAAGTACAATGAATGTTCATCATATTATGCGTATCTTTAAAGGCCTTTATGATCCGTAAAGTCTACATATCTGAAATGAAGAGTATGTCTTTGACTGTTGAGCATTTGATGAGCACAGTATAAAGTACATATACTTGATTTCTCATCTGTAAAATGGGCTTAAAGAGACTTCATTTACAGGCTATTATGAGGAATCATCAGAATGATTTTCAAACCTAGTATTTGACACCTTCATACACACCCTGCAAGCAGCCATTACTAATGCTGTTTTGTTCTGCACTTAGTAGCCAGTGTTTTCTTTTTTAGCATAATCTTCAAACTCACAATCACTTATGCACATGCATGACATAAACCTGGGAATGATTTCTTCCTAACTCCATAATATAGTTACTGTATTTCAAATATGTTAAAGCCTCTTGAAATAAACAAACACTTTTTTTTCAGTGTGAGTCTAATTACTTGCTCAGATTCCTATATGAATATTCAAGATATCTAAATGGAATATAATGTCTTTACCAAATAAATAGAAAAATCAATCTGCTGTTGAATGAGAGTATTGCTTAAGTAGAACGAAATCATATTTCCACATGAAAATAACACAGCAGGTAATGTGAACTGGTAATTTGCTTTATGAGGCAATTTAATGGGAGAATAACACACACTTTAAAAACAATCACAAAGAAGGAAAGATGAGATAAATTAATGATGTATGCAAGTCACATATCCCATATGGAAAAAATGAGACACCTTCTCCAAACTCCTTGCTCCAAGGCCATAAAGCATACCTCACACACTACTCATTTTAGTCCTCGGCATAACTAACACATCTACTCATGCTTATACTTCAGTTTTTGTTTAAATGTTCATGAAAATAGAATATGTCTAATAGTAAAGCAGCATCACAAGTTTTTACCTACAGTGATACAACTGATTAAGATATGATACTGGATGAAATATTTAATTGCTGCCTGGTCACCGCATCCCATTGATCTTCCTGGAGTTTTCTGATTTGTACCTCAATGGTTTGCTTCCCTTCATCAAAGTTCCAGTGTTGATCAAATTTGTCAGAATCAAAGCAGAAGGAAATATTCCTCCATCAACAAAGCAATGTGTCCTATGCAGTGGTTGCATTTCCCCTTGTTCTTTATTTGCTCTTTATACCTTTTGAAGACATTCTGGCATGCCATAGTAGTGACAAGGAGAGCTAGAGTCACGTTTCTTTGGAATCGGTGTGTGAAAGTTTTGGAATCAAACCTTCAGATGAGGTTTGCTAAACTGCCTGCCCAGAACACTCTGGTTTAAAAGAAATGTGCATTGCTATTAATATTTCGAGTGTAGATTTTTTTTGGACAGTGTATGTTCATTTTCTGCCCATAAAACCAAGAATGAGTCACAAAGGAACATTCACTTTGAATCAAAAATGCAGTGTGTACTGATGTTCACGAGAAGAGCCTTATCACTGTGACTGGAAATCATAGCAGGCAGGGAGTTATCGATCTCCACTTGCCTTCAGAAGTAGATCAGAGATCAAAGAGTTTAATCTTCCATTCCTAAACACTGGCATTAACTTGTATCCATAAAAAAATATAGTAATTATGGGCTATAATCTGGGTTGACTGTAAACAGTGCTCTCACTTCTGTTTTTCTTTTTTCTTTTAACCTGGTTCAGTAGCCCTTCTGTACAGAGAAAAATAATTCACACAGGCACTGGGGGAACAAGAAGCAGGCACGCTCCTCACTCCTCACTGCCTATCCTTCAGAAAATCTGAAACACCACAGTGAGTTTGATCTCAGGACGTCTGTTACCCAAATTCCACGCATACACACAACTATTTATACAGTTCTCAGCACATACTCACTGCAGTAGTATAATCTAAAGTTCATGTCTTGATATCAGTATCATTATGTACCTGTAACTAATTCCAGAAAGTCTTTTACAGTTTATTTTGCTGGAAAAGCTGGGGTTAAAATTCTCAAAGGATTTAAGTTGTATTTTGTTTGTTGGGTTTTTGTAAACCATGCCCATTCTTTTACCTGGAGTTTGAAAATCACACACATCACACACATCACACACACACACACACACACACACACACACACACACACACACACACACACACACACACACACACACTGGCTGCAACAGCACCCAGACCAAGTGGCAATAGTAACATATTGAAATGAAAAGGCATTTACCAGGAGTAGGAAAGCCAGAAAGAGCAGCGGTGTGCCAGGAGTTGCCCGACGGCAGCGTTCCATGCTTGGATCTTTGCCGGAATCCGAATCGGACACTGAATAAGCTGCTAAGTGCTCCTCTGCCCGCTGCTGTCACATCCAGTGCTGAGGCTCACACTCCAGCCCTGCCTATCAGCTTCCATCAGCCCCGCTCACATTTCCTGAGCGAGGGTGGGTGGGTGGATGGGTGGGGGGTAAGCTGAATGGAATCTCTCTAGAGCAGGCAGCCAGCCAATCAGACTCCTGCTAATCAGACATGCTGAATAACAAAGCGTGGGGGGGGCTGTGGAGCAGAGAGAGTGAACAGTGTGAACAGAAAAGAGGGAAAAAGACGGAAAGCCAGGGCAGTGAGCAGCGGAGCCCGAGGAGAGCCGCAGAGGCAGAAGAGCAAGGCACAAAACGTAAGCAGTGCTGCGCTCTGAACCAACCTGGTTAGTGCTCTGTGAGCCGCGATTCTGTTTGCCATTTGCCTGGGCTGGTGTCTGTTGCTCTGGAAAGTACAGTAGCTCCCTGTGACGGTGTATTGTTCCATTCAGGAGATAAACTTAATCCCCGTCAATATAGAACATATGCTATAAAGAGACCAAGCCCTCCTCAGGACTGAATGTGCCCTTTAAGTGTATTCTGTGCGAGCACGTTCTTCCTCTTCCATAAAGTGCTTTTTTATTTTCCCCTTTGAGTTTGGAAAAGAATTCTATAGATGGGTTTGAAAGATCCTCACTAAACCTAACAATAGCATTAGTTATTTTCTGTGTTAAGGTCTTGGTTTGAAAATAAAGGGTTGGCAGAGTCCTTCTTTGTGGAGTGATGATTTATTAGTTTTAAAGGTACAATTAGACTCATTTAAAGCCCCTAGTTTAGAAGAAATAGTGTTCAGGATGCTCAGATTTGGATAAAACAACTGCTGGGTTTTGACACCTTGCCAACTTTTCCCTACCAGATTTAGCCCGTGACAGGAAAGAAAGGGTGAATTAACCCTCACTTAACCCCAAACCTTCTTCACTGGATACCTGACTCCTGCTTTCTTAGAGCTGCTATACTGCGAACAGAATGAGGGTGGGACCACTTCTTTCCGATCACTGTGGAAAGAGGGTAGGAAAGGATGAGTGCAGTACTACCTCTTTGCCATCACTATGACAACAGGGTTGGACAGAGAAGGATGAGTAGGGTACCGTCTCTTTCTCCATCACTGTGGACAGGGGCAGGTTGGCCTCTGAGCTGCAATCCAGCGGCAGGAATTACTAGTGAACTCCATGGTGACCACAGGGCCACAGGAAAAGACCAGAACAATTCTGAGCCTCCCTCATCCACATCAAGCAAAGCCTGTGTGGGTCAGGAGGATTTTATAATAGTATTAGAAAAGTGTTAAGTGTCAAACAAGCCTGTCTTTCCTCCTTATTGCTCAGGAACTCATTCAGTTCCCAAAGAATGAAGCCGCAAACATGGCCCTCCATTTCCACAGGAGAAGCATTGCCTTTGCAGACCTGACAGCCTGGAAGTGCGGAGGAGGGGTCAGAGGGCACCCAGGATGCACGTTCTTCCCTTTCGTTATTAGAAACTACCTCACTGTAATAGGCATGTGAGTACAGGCAGGCCTGCCGTGCACACACAAAGGCGGCTTTGCGAGGAGGCGAAGAAAAGCAGGTTGCTCAGCTTTGGTTACTCCTTCCACGCGGTGCATCGCTTAGAGAGGAGTTTTTTAAAAATCCCACTTTCAGCCTGTCAGGAAAGTCTAGAGCAGCGGTTCTCAACCTCCCTAATGCTGCTACCCTTTAATACAGCTCCTCATACGTGGTGACCCCCTCCCCCAAACATAAATTACTTCATTGTTACTTCATAATTGTAACTTTGCTGCTATTTTGAGTTGTGTGTATTTTATATGCATGATATCTGATATTCAACCCCTGTGAAAGGGTCACTCAACTCCTGGAGGTCTCCACCCTCAGGTTGAAAACCACTTGTCTAGGGCATATGAGGACATACCTTGGCCCTCAATACTATGCAAGCTGAACTGTAAAGTTGTTAGTACACGTCTATAAGCCCTCAAGGTCCTATTTTTGAAATATGCTTTTCCCTTTTAGAATGATTTGTTTTATAAATCTCTGAAAAAGTGCTGGATGCATACAAGCTAAACAAAACTCAAAAGCAAATGCAGTTATGTTGGCCGGATATCTGACATCTGCACCACAATGAAGAAAGGTTGATAGGCTGAAATAAACCCTCAGTCATATAGTCTATATAGTCTATGTGCTCTCTCTCTCTCTCTTTCTCTCTCTCTCCACATGTGCATATATATGCATGCACACGTGTGAGCACACATGCGCGCACGCATACACACACACACACCTTCTGCTGTGTGGTTTTCTCTCTCTCCCTCCCGGGTCAAGCAGCTGAAGAGTTCACTACACAAAGGAACATCTCACTTCCTACCATGTCCTCCCTCCTATGAAAACTTGCTCATTAGACAGTGTCAGACTAAAAGGAGGAACAGGTATGGGAGAGGGAATATTGTAAATTATTGGAATTAAGGAATTCTGCAACACCGAGACTAGCAAAGTGCTATTTGAAGGGAAAGAATATTGGCATGATAGGAAAACAGCATTTCTGCACTAGTCTGGATTCTTCTTTGGAAGTAGTCTTCTGAGTTTTTGGTGTCACATCAGCATACAGCAGGATGGTCCCTTCAGTAAAGCCCCGGAATAACACAGCATTTTAGTCAAGGCCACAGTTGCGAGTCAAACCAGGGAAGGATGCCCACCCCAGTGTCTCATGTGTAGTCACTGGTCACCGCATTTTCTTTCTACAAAGGGTACCAAGAGAAATGAGGAAAAAGCCATTGCTCACTCTATGGTTCATGTAGCACAAGGAAGATGCCATGCTTATTGTAACTTAAACAGAAGAACAAAATCAAGTTGGGTTTGAGACACTGGGGGAAGTTTTCAGGATGATAATTAATTATTAAAGTTTCTGTGATTTTGGAGACTTCTGGGTGTGAAGGTCCTACTGTCTAAATACTTCTGAAACTAAGGTTCAGAGAGGAAGCTTGATAAAGGCTCTGAAGGCTGGAGCTCACCCCCAAAGCTGGGTTTTCCAACTTCAAATCCACTCATCTCATTCTTATATACATATATTTGTATCTACATATTTACACATGAACAGATTCAGGGGTTGGCACTGGGTGGAGGGGGCTGTGGTGGACGGAGATTCTTATGGCTAAGGAGAAGGAGCTGAGACAGAGACGACCAGGATTTCTTGAGCATATAGGTTACCTGGCAGTGGAAAGTACTTGTTTTATCTACAGCTTCTGCCTCCCAACTTTGTCACTTCTAAGAGCTTCAAAGGGCCAAGGGAAAAATAACATAAACCCTAGGTAATGCAGATCATGGTTATGGCAGCTGGGGAAAGGCCACTTATGGCACTGAGCAGGGCGTTGGCCGTGTTCCTTTTTTCCTCTTCAGGTATCTAAATTAAAGCCGTCTGCAAGTGTCTGTGCACAGCAGCCCCCAGAAGCTGTGGCAGCCGTCAGCCTGGTTCCCGGTTCCATGCACAATATATTAGGTGAAATGAAAGCAGCAGCAAGACCGAGTGTCAGGGCTGTCTGAAGCATCATTCCAAATGGTATGGATTTAACAATACTTAATTTAAAAAACACCAGCTTGGACAGCAGCAAGCTGTTAACAGTCAGTGTGCTTTATGGCAGGAAAGAGTGAGCTAAACTTTCGGGAATTTCTCTCCCTGAGGAAAATGCCTCACAGCTTTTGCTCCAGAGCCACCTGTCTGGTCCTTGAGGTTGGGCCTCTTTACTTAGCCCTGCAGTAGCAGCAATGGTAGAGCATAGGCAGGGTGTTTCTGGAGAGTCTCAGGAACGAGGGCTTCAAAGAGCTGGGTAAGGCCTACACTCTTTGAAGAGGAAGAGACGGCAATATAGGGGCCAGCGAGCCTTGTTTTCCCCATGGGGCTAGAGTGAAGGTCTTTGATATTAATGGATAATCTAGACGTTCAAAGAGAGCAAAGTGGTGGCAGAAGACTGATAGAGGCAGGCTGCAGTTCTCAAGGCACAGGGCGGGGGGAGGGGGGGCTGGAATCTGAGCACAGATTTCAACTCACCCAGCATCCATTTAGGACCACAGGGCATGCATTGCAAATTCCAAGTTATCCTTTGCACGCAATCTGAGCAGAAACTGGTGAGGTAGAGTGTGATTCTGTCTACAACTGCAAGGAAGAAATGCTGCTCTGGTGCAATTAATAGGCATATTAAAGTTGTACGTTATCAAGTGGGAACTTCAGAGAATCTAGCTCTGGCTGTTTGTCTTTCCAAAGAACCGTGATCTGACAAGTTGGTAGAAAACCAGCTACCTTTATTGTCTTCCATGTGGCCCCTGGCACAGCCGTAGGTCCTTTATGTTTACAACCCAATGCAATTCTTTTGTCAATCCTCAGGGCAGACACATTGATTAGCCATATATAGATGCCACTTACAAGCATCCTTCATCTCAGCCAATGCCTTTCTGCTCAGCAGAGGCCTCAGACTTCAAGACTGTGTTTTCCAGACTCCTTTGCAGCTAAGATGCTAATCAAAGTTAGATTTGTCCTCTATGAAGCTGCTGCAAGATCTAGAAGGAGGAAATGAGGCAGAGGTCTTGCTTTGCTTTCATTGTTTACAAAAGTAGACACAGAGAGATATGGTTGAAAACTAGTCACTAATGTTTCACATCGAGAGACAAGTATGGGGCATCAATTTTGCTACTTGGATCAGAGAAAGTGCACAGTCCTTGTGACCCCTTCATTTCCATGTGCTTTGCAGTCACCAGATAACTAACCTCCTGGCTGTTGGAGAACCAGCAGTCCCTAAGGTGATGAAAAGTAAGGAGACCCCCTCAGAAAACTTGTACTGCAATCTTATTCCTTGGAAATTCAAACTTTACGTGATGTATGCCTTACAACATCACAGTTCATTTAAATTGACAAGAGTGAATGCTGTTCTCTACAAGCATGCTAACTGATATATATCCTTTGACAGAAGTGAACCCTGAGCACAGGCAAGCTCATACACCCAGTAAGAAGGAAAGGCTACCTCCTGGGCTCGTTCAGTCTCCCTACAGCCACTGCGCTGCATGGCCTCTGTGTGGGCCAGGGGTTTCTGGGAGTACAGAGTACTGAGCGAGCAGTCACGGCTTGTCTGGGGATTTAGTGAAGAGAGTGCACATAGACAGTGAAGACAAAGTATACTGAGACTTGCAGCAGATTTTAAAAAGCAACCCTAGAGATAACAAAAAGATAGATGGCAGAGGGTGAGAACATATTTCACCCCCTTGCCATGCCAGCACAGGCTACTTAGTGGCTTGTTTTCAAGTTCTTGGTCCACAATATTCTTCTAATTCATGTTACTTCTGGGGGAACTCAGACATGATTTGTTCTATGGGTGTCAGTTTACACCCTGCCAAGGTCTACAAAGTTGATATCTAGAGTCTACATGCTGTAGGCATGTGGCTAAAATCCTTGACACCAGCTAGCAGCAAAAGTGAGCTCTGGGGATGGCTGGGTGGAAAATAACTTATTTGGTGCCAAAGGGTTCAAATCCTAGTTCTTACATTTATTCTTAGCAGGTCTTTGAGGAAAGAAAAGAATGAAACTTTGTGATCCTAGGTGTGTGTGTGTGTGTGTGTGTGTGTGTGTGTGTGTGTGTTTGCTGGTTTGGATTGATGTGAACTTTGATAAGCACTGGGAAGGTTATGCACCACCATAAGGCTACATATATACATATATAGTCAGCAGTGAGGTGAGGGGTTTGCTGTGTCTCACTCAGAGCTGGATACAAAGAGATCAAGGAAGCATTGCCAATCTACAGGTATAAGAACTTGTTCTTTCTGTCTCCCCATCTTTTAAATTTTGTCTGTACATGAAAATTTTAATAAAATTCTGCAGAAAATTATAATATAGACTTTAATCACAGTTCATGATTCTTTCCTTACAAGCTACAAAGCAAAATGTAGAGTCAAACACCAGACTGAACCGAGAAGGTGGACTTGTTCCCTACCTGTAAGCTTGAACAAAGTGCTCTGCATTGTTCTACCTAGCTGGAGTTAGCTAATGGATCTCAAAGGTTTACTATTGAATAATACTCAATGAATGCTTACCACATACCTACTGTGTACAGGGCACAATCCAAGGATTCTGGAAACAGTGAAACTTTTTTTTGGTGGCCCTTTAGACACAAAATGACTTATCAATGTAATTGCTGAGATTTGAATTATGGTTGTAATATCCATATATTAAACCCCAGTGTAATATATAAACCCATGGCTCTTGATTCTTAGCTCCGCACTGTTTCCATGACATCATCCTCCACAGATAAAATAATTATACCAGAGCCAGACAATAAGGTGAAGGACTGTTAACAGATTTATAGACAATACAGAGTGAGTAGGATGGAAATGGAAAAGCCAAATTCCTCCGCGTGGCATTCAAGGACCTCCCCGATGTGCCTCCAGGCTAAGAGGGAAGGAAGTTATCCTCCAGCCCTGGCGGGGACCTCCTATCACCCCATAAGAAGGCCTGCAGTTCCTCTGCACCTGCTCATCCTGTCCCTGCTGCAAAGACCTTTCATGATATTACTGTGCTGCTGGTCAGTGTCACCTCCTCCACAAACGCTTCCGCTAAGGCATGTGTTCTTTGAGACTTCTTGCTTTTGGCCCTTTGCTTGCTGAACGGTTTATGTTTTTTAGATATTTATAGACATTCTTTATCTATCACTGATATGAGCCTTTGTTCTGAGAGAAAACATTTTATCATTGGTCTAGTTTAACGTGTTTTTTTAGGGTAGACATTTTAAACTCCTGATCACTGTTATTTCTGATTTCGCTGACTCTATCAGGCTTTAAAGTCTATCTTTCCCCCAGTGATGGTATCTTTCTATATTCTAAATTGTAAGTTTAGTTTTGTCTATCCAACCTCAGTAGCAAACCTTAATTGTTTTTTCCTGAACCCCTGCAAAACTGCTCCCTCATGTGGACAGGTATTTTTTGTTTTTTTTACAAACATCCTTCTTGTGAGTGAATTAACATAGGTCCACAGCCTTGGAGGTAAGTGGAGAAAAGACAGGAAAAAAAAAATGGATCAGAGAAAATGCAACCAGGAATGTTGCAAAAGAAATTATTGTCTCTGAAACTAACAAGAATATAGATTGAATGTGAAATATAATTTGAATTTCAGTAATGCCCCTGAACTCAGGAAAATCAAAACACTGTTCACCAGAGACAGAAGAGACCACTGGTCTTCCTTTTGTTTCTGCCATTTCAGCTGTATTTCCAGATTAACAGCTAGATCAATGGTTTTTATGCAAAACTAAAATTCTCTCATGTGACAGTTACACATACTGTGATAAAAAGTTAGTAGACCATATTAAGTAGTGAAAGGATGAAAAAAAATTCTTAATTTAATGTAACATGAGTGGTTTATTTTCTAAGATATTTGCTTTTTAAATTTGACTGAAATTATATGTATTTACGATATACAACAGAATGGTTTAAAATAGTTATATACTATAAAATAGATAAACCAAGCTAATTAACATATGTGTTACCCCTATACCTCAGATTTTTTTCCATGCTCAGTTAAAGCTCATATATTAATTTTTAGAAAGGACTTGGAGTCTTTCCTTCTTGAAGTCATGGTGGTCCTTCTCCATAAAGACTTCTGTGAAGGAATCTGGAACTTGAAAGTACGATAAAAAGGAAAGCAAAATAAGGCAACAGCCCAGAGAACTGTATAAAAGCCAACCACAGGGGAACATTCACCATGCATTCAGGTGTCCTGCGGGGGAAGACTGGGTGCGGTAGACAAAGCCAGGTAAAGAAGTTCAGAGACTTGTCTTTTTTACACGTCCATTTCCTCCCCAGCTGAAGCCCAAATCAGTTTACCCAGCACAGAAGTGAGCAGGGACAGGGAGAGTTGAGTCCGGGGTAAAGGAGCCACATTCTTCCCATTCGGACTGCAGGATGGGAGCTGCTCGCAGGAACTTTAGGAAGACAGCCGAACAGGACACGGGTGCCAATTGTGATAACTCTTGTGTTTAAGGGAAACAGCCATCAAGTCTACTGTGTGACACAAGGCCATTCTCAGAGGATCCTCGGTGGGAACTTGGCTAAGCACAGTAAAGAGGGGCAAGTCCCGGCTGTGCCGGGTGAGTGCTTTCTCATATTCTACCTCAGAGAGAGGAGGAAGAACACCCCCCACCCTTGCCACACTCCACGGATGGCTCTACAGCCTGGTGGTTACATTGGCGTGGTCACAGTGTCTGGTTTCCTCTTCGTGCCTCCGACTTTCCACTACTTGGACCAAGACAGAAATGTATTTGTCTGATTCAGAGCGGCCTTGTGAAAACGTTTTTTGTCACCGTTGCCATCTATGTCTCTGCTTGTAACAGTTTCATTCGAAAAACTGCAACCTGCGTTTCAGGGAAATTTCATTTTAAGTAAGGCATCTGTGACAAAAACACTTAAACTGTCTCTCAATACCTTTTCTTTTTTGTATTTTGGCGACAAAGTCTGGGTGTGTTTCTAACGTGTATAGGGGACTGTGTGTGCCCATGGGAAAAAAATTCTCACCAAGATGATGGAATTAAAAAATTTTTAAAAAATATTTTTAAAAAAGATGATGGAATTAGAGGAAGTGAGTGTAGCTCTAAATAGGGAACGGGCCATCTACTGATTCCTCTTCTCTGCTTTTGTGACTAGAATGGTGTTGGGAAGACCGGAGCAGCCCACTTGCACCACGAGGTGACACTGGGGAAAGAGCCTTCAATCCCTGACACTCTCAAACAGCACGACCCACCTAGAGCCCCCCCTGCAGCCTTCAATGAGAGAAAGCTGAGTGTTTGACACACATACGCTTACAATACAAGAGTGGTAAAAGTATGCAAAAACAATTAAACAGGCAGGCAGAGCTAAGTCAGTCCCAGTCCCAGGCCATTTCAGACTGACTGTTTGCACGGCAACCTCAGATGATCTATGAACAAGCACCATGGCTACTGTCCAATTCAGAAACACGTATACGTAAGTATTTCAAAGGTCTTGTAAAAGTGTGTGGGATGATTGTGTTCATCCTACTTGATAATATGAAAGATCCCAGTGACAAATTTCTAGAAGTTAATGGTTGAACGTAGAAAGCACATCTTTGCCAGGTTAGCGTGTCTCGTTTTCTTAGGTGACAAGAAACAACCCCATGAGTTGCTCTGTCTCTTTTACAGTAGCTTTGCTCAACTGTTTCATTCCCCTCAGTCCCTTGTGACAAAAGCTGCTCCCGCCTTTTGTCCACTGAGTTGTGTACCTTGCCATCTCACGCAGTTGTTCAGGTTTTGCGTTGCAATTGTGCTTTTTCATTTGTTTGGGAAAAGCTGAGTTATAAACACGACTACCATCCCCACCAGCAGCAGCAACAGCAAATCACTGTAAATATTGACAGGGAAGCAGGGCCCAGTGCCCACTAAATGAGACTGTTAAGATCATATGGTAAATCCTTAGTGCCATGACACTTTTCTTGGGGTGACTAAGTTGCGTTTTGTTGTCTGTCATACCTTTTTTCAAAGCTTTACATTTCTCCTTATACAAGTCAATTCTTCCTTATGAGTCACTTCCTGGGAGTAATAACATTCAAATGGAAAGCTCTATGGCCTCATCATCCAATTCAATACCTTAGTGGAACCCAAATGACACACAATGACACTGTAGCTTCTTTTGTTCAGTTTTCACTGTACTTAGCTGGAGTGATTTTCTCCCCCATCTCCTGCAACAGGCAGATGAACAATGATAGCCAGAGTCCTGAAATTACAATGTGTTGACTGTCTGGGTCTAGTCGTCCTGTTACTCACAGCCCTAAAGTGAATGTAGCTTGACATGACAAATGTGCCATGTGTCTTTAGGAGCCTGGAAAAGATAGCCTGGGTATTAACTGCCATTATTACTGCCAAAAGATAAAACTGTAAAACACTCAAATAGGATCTTTGAAGGCAGTGTATCCTGTCTGTTCCCACTTGGGACCCAATCAATGTTTGCTGGTTATAAATTTAAAAGCATTAACTTCATTACTGAAAATTAAACAAAGAATCATGATATGGTCCAGTTATTCCATTCCTGGGTATGCACCCCGAAGAAAGGTAAGCAGAGTCTAACAAGCATCTGTACATAATTGTTCAACACAGTGTTATGTTCAGTAGTCAAAGACTGATGCAACCCAGATGTCCACTGACAAACGAGTAGTTAAACAGAACATTACCTATGATGAAATACTACTCAGCCTGAAAAAGGAAAGAAATTCTGACTCATGCGACAGTGTAGATGAGCCATGGAGGCATGTGTAATCCACCTATTGAACATACCTAGAATAATAAGATTCCCAGAAATAGAGGGCAGAGGGGTATTTTCCAGGAGTTGGAGAAGCAGAGAATTAATGGCTAATGGTTCAGAGTTAAAAATGGTGAGGAGAAGAAAGTTTGAAGGGAGAAGACAGAGGCTGATACAACAAAGTGAATGCTTAGCTAGACACCTAAAATGGTTATTTCAAAGTATTTTTAAGGAAGGGGAAAAAAGCAAAGGGAACCACAATGGATCTATATAAAATCTGTGCAAGTTTTCTCGAGCTTTAAAGTCTCAAGTCTGAAACAGCGGGCCTTTGCTGTGATGATACACACGTGACCTATCTAATGACTTGGTTTCTTGAAGTGAAAAGCCTCCAGTTCATAGCTGTCTCATCCTAAAGGCAAGAGTCTAGCTAGCAAGAACTGGGAATATGCTTCCCCATACTGTTTTCACATGTGTCCTCGCCAAGGCTATGTTTGAGGCTGCTTTGGGGGTCTCTACACACTCTCTCTCTCTGAGGAGGTCTCCCTGGATCTGTCAGTTTGCTTTCTTGCAGAGGACTTAAGCGACTCATGGTTTCAAGTGTCTGTCTATTTGCGTTTGTATCTATTTGTGTGACTGAGGGAATCAATGCAGTGTGGTTTTCCAGCATCTATCAGAGGGCTTAGCAAATAGCAAGCACTCAACAACTATGAACACATACATACATAATGGGTGTATGTACTCATGCTAGGCACACGTCACATGCAGACTTCATATGCATGAGCACATATATCTTCATATATAAATATCTAAGTGTCTTCCACCTGTTAACCTATGAGGCAAAAATGCCTGCTCCTGTTGCCCTTACCTCTCAACAATCATGCTTGTGACCCTTTGTCATGGTCAGCTTCTTTGCTATTTTCACAGTTGAGGTCTCCAGTAGACAGGTTAAACAAGACACTGCTTTGCAAATGGATGCAATTGCATTCTCTTTTAAAATTTTATTCTGGGATACAACGTTTCTAATGAAAGAATTTGGGCAGAATAACTTAAAAGGTAGGATCAATTCACCTAAATCTACCATACCTGTGAATAACAACAACACACATATCTGCTAGTAACGGCAGAAGGCCTGTGACAACATACGTGAGGTAAACTATGTGCGAGCGAATCGGTTCAGTTTATCCATTCAGAAGGTCGCAGACTTTTAAAAAGATATCCTGTATATAATAAAGGTGTGCAAATTTTATTTGTTAATGAAAATAAAAATACATGTTGTCTAAAAAGATTCAAAGTCTACTGTAAATCAATAAAATAAAATCAACAAAATAAAAAGCAACTGCTGTGGTCTAGTCATTTAATTTGCTCACCAAAGAGAAAAAGATTTCCATGGGATATTATCAGCAATTCCATAACTAAAAATATTTAAAATATGATACACAATAAAATTTGATACTGATCTGTACACACTTTAGTAATACACTTTTTAGTAACGAAACGTGTTTCGTTTACAGGAGAAATCTCTGCTCCGTGGATATCAAGAGTGCTGTCATGCAGAACCTTCAAGAGTCTGTTCAAGGAAGAACTTACTTTTGCAGTATGAAAGCTATGAGAAGCAGCCTGGGAAGGGGGGGCGACTCCATGGCACCCAATGTTAAGCCTGCATGTACACCTAGTAAAATTTGGAAATTGGAATCACTCTGCCTCAGATTTCATTTTCTGCCTATTAAGTCAGAGTACAACACAGGCATCACACCACCTGCCATAAATAATTCTTCACAACTGTCTGCCTCACTTTGGAGTGCCCTGGCCTCTCTCCAACCATAAACCTGCATTTACTTTTACCACTAAAAGGACTGTGCAGTGGATTCCGGCTGGGGAAGCTGAACCGGAGAAGGGGTGGGATGTTCAGACAGCATCTCTGCCTGCATCTTCCACAGCAGACAAACAGGGCTCTCGTCAGGGAGCTGGGCATGTCCTTGAAGAATCTTGACAAGGTTTATAAACAAGATACAGTGTTTATTTATTATTTGAAGAAAACTTTCCATTGTGCTCTTCGTAATATAATATGATCTATATTTTTGCCAAGAGTAGGGTGTGGTTGCTCAGCGGCTTAGCTGATCGTGAAATGTCATGCTTCAGAATTGAGTCAGAGCATCAAAACAATGCAGCTCTGGGCTGAGAATGCCAGCGCGTTCCCAGCTCCTGCTAGATCCCACCATATCCACGGGGGATGCTGGTAGCCTTCCTCCTTAGCGTGCTCACTCATGTCCCAGATAATCTGCTTGAGAATCTTGATTCTAAACTCACTTCACCTGCACATTTCTTCATTCTGAGGACAGTTCTTTGCAGACAGACTTCCTCCCACATTTCTTTTATGCCTTTCTTCCCTCCTTGTTTCTTCAGTTGTTGGCTAAACTCAAATGGGAGGAGCCAGGCTTAGGGATTGCTGTCCCAAATTCGCAGCAATACAGGCTATTGAGCTCTCATGTTAAAATAACGTCCCAAGTGCATGCTGTGAGCCTTCCCCTTTAAGAGTATCGGGGATTGACTTTTTTAAAAATAAAACTTGACTAAGTTCAATATTTTCCCATAGAATCTGATCAAGCCTGATAGGTTTACTCAACTAACTTGATTAAGTAACAATGTGCTGATTTGTAGACTCTTCTGTGTAAATCCCCTAAATTCAGACACTTATCATGTCCTGAATTCCCCAGGAACCCAAGCACCCAAAACAACGCTGTTGTAAGGAAAGTCAGTGTAGAGGACACACTATTATCATAATTCACACATCTGTGTGAGATGAGGTCTGCAGTTCAGCAGCGTGTTTGAAATACAAATGACAAGGTCCTGAGGACTGAACTAGGATTCAGAGTGGCACATCCAGTTATACCTAATAAATTACCAGTAAGGACCAATGAAATACAAAGGACACTTTGTTTGTGAAGTATTATTTCCCAAATAATACACTTTAACATGGAAAACATTCTGTATTTCACTCTAGCATGAACTGCTTGACAGAAAATACTAAGTTTTCAAGTTGATATTTGATGAAAGTTTAAGTAATGGACAGTCTGAACAAATAGAACTATTGTCTTAAACAGATGTGTGGCAGATTATAATAATAGGGTGCCCACTATAATTCGGTAATTATGACAACTTAGAAAAACATGCAACTTTTACATTTAAAGGCTCATCTTGTTTAAAATCTATTTGCTTGAAGGAACAAAGATTGTTTATTGAAATACTGCGGATAGAGGAACACAGCTCTACACTCAGAACAAAGGGCTGTGCGAGTCCTTTCTAGTTCCAAGATTTTATTGCTCTGGCCTTAAAAACTCATCCATGAGGAAACAGTGCTTTTGTAAGTCACTGTGATTTCTCATTGCCACCGAACAGCGTGCCTCCTCAGTGGCATTCTTCTGGCCCCAATCCTACTCAGCATATATTAGCCTTGATTAAGCTGTTTCCTCTTAAGAATGCACTGGAAGTCTTGTGAATTAAGTCAGTCAAGGGGAAGCTAACCTGAACTTTAATCAGGACTACATGCTTTACACCCAAGTGCTTGCACCCTGTACTCGTGACTCTTCGGGGAGAGTATGTCACCTTCCAACCATGAGTTGTCACTAATAAGTCAGAAAATCAATTAGTGTATTATATCCAGCATGAAAAACAAGAGAAACAATATGAGAAAATAGTATCTCACATAGTAAGGATATAATTGTTTGGTCAAACTGTGTGTGTGTGTGTGTGTGTGTGTGTGTGTGTGTGTGTGTGTGTGTGTGTGTGTGTGTGTTGGGATTTATACAATGTTACCACCATGTAAATTTATTTATCCCTATAAACACATTCAAAAATCTTTTCAAAGTGTTGTTTTCAACAAAAGTAGTTTTCCAAAGCCCCTTAAGCCCATTTTTCTTCTTTAAAACCCTGAGGTCTAATGGGCACCTTCAATAGCAGCATAAAATGGTAAGGATGTGAATTTAAAGGTTTTATTCTTCGAAGACATGTACAGCCGAAGTGCATAGACCTAGTCGATTAGAACTGCAGAAGCCGAGATCACTGACCTCAGCCTCTTCCATGCAATCTATTTGATTGTAGAGACACAGACGTGTCCTCTTTTCTGTCCCTGGAGGAGAGTGGATGTCAACTATGCCTGCTGGTGATTGTGCATGAGCTAAGACAGAGTGTAAGCAAGATGAGGAATTCTCAAAAGAAAAAGAAGCTTTTTATTGAAACGTAATGTGCATAAAGAAAATTGCAAGTAAGAATTCTTTCTGTATCCTGAGGGGGAAGGGAAGGTGCACCAGGGTTTCCCAACTCCTCTTTGTTCTTTGGTTTCCTGTGCTTCTGTTGAAAGAATTGCTCGGCATTCAATCTTGCTTCTTGAAGACACAGAGAGACGTTTGAAAGGTGAAAGTACTTCATGTAGAAGTTCTTCTCTTCTTAGTGCATAATTGGTTCTTTTGGTATATGTTAACATGCCTATAATTTTTCTATAATATAATCTTATATTAACTGATATATCAGTATTTCCTCTTATTTATCAAAATCATTTTCCATGCTTATAGCTCAATTGCATATTAGCTCAGCAATTTAAAAGTTCACAGTATTCTAATGCATAATAATTGACAATGTAAATAAAGTACACAGAAATTAAAGTGCTTTCCTGTGAATATGTAATTTAAAAATCTTGAATTGTGGGGTGACAAGATTGTAATAGGAGGAGGAGGAAGAGTTTCCTTTAAAATGAAAGATATGCATATTTTCTAAGGACTGTTTTTGATCTTACAGGAGTGGGTGGGACAGCCATATAAAATGCCTGATTTTTGTGTTGGCTACATTGTGGTTTGGGAAAAATGATATGCAACAAAAAAAATAAAAGAAAGGAGCAGATAAGTTCAGATAGTGGTAAATACCATGATGCAGAGAAAGCTGGCATAGGCACATGATAGTGTCAGGGTATAGAAGACAAGCGGTGTACAATGAGGCTGAAAATCTTTTGAGGAGGATTGCAATGAAAGAAGACATAGCCTCAGTTTCCAGAGAGATAAAAGGATGTAAATTCGAAAACTAGCACTTAATGAACCTTTATTTGAAAAATTTCTATCTTGAAAAGAAAATGAAATAAAAATGTATTCACTAAACAAAGAAAACAAGGAGTGCAGGCAGTTGCAGATTTTTGTAGGAGTTTTTCATAAATGAATTCATTAGGTATTACCTCCATTTACTATTGCTCAACCTGCAAACAGTACCCTTAAAATTATCCCTTGGGTAGTACAGTTCATGACCTTGGCAGCCTGGTTAAGGGATTTTATGTAGGAAAATGGAAAATCTAGTAGCCTGAACAATCAGAGCCCACTGATGAGATGCAGAGTGATGAGTTGGGTTGTCTACCACAGAAGGAGGGTATGCGAGGGCCATGCCCAGGCGGTCAGGCTGCACAAAGTTTGTTAATGTGTGTAGACTTTTCCTGGAAGCTGAAGAATAATTACAGAATTTCTAGACTCAGAGGAGCATGGAAAACTTGAAAGTTGTTCAGAGGAAGTCAACAAAGATGATTAAGGATTGAATAATGGGACCTCTGAGAAAAGGTATAGCCAAACTGGAGTTACTTAGCCTGGATTATTTATCTTGGTGAGGACACATCCAAGGTGGGGTTTAATGTGGCCTTCAAGAATATGAAAGGTAATGGTGACTAACTGTTCTTTATGACCTCAATAAGGAGAACAAGTTGAAATAGAAGATAAAGATTTTGGATTATGAAGTATCCAAGACACAATGAATTACCTAGCACACATTTTGAGTTTCTTTCTTTAACTTTTAATGAGGGGTATTACCCTAGATCTTTGAACCATTTCTACACTGACTGCTAGGTTTGGGGATTCTTAGTAAGTCAGTTGAAATTTTGTAGATATTTCCATATACATACACATCTGTTTTCTAAGAAGAGAATTGGCAACTTCTGTAAGATGAAGTCTATGCTACATGCTACACACGTTAAAAAGGATCACTGCTTAGTTTATAATCTCATCAGTTTGGATCAACTGCAGAGTACCTTGTACTGAAGGAGGTGAGTGGACAAGATACCATTTCAAGTCTCCCTAGCATCTTATCAAAGGGTTTGGAAACCTTGAGATCTCTGTGAATGAGATAGCAAAGAAGAAAGGGAAGAAGAAAGAAGAGAGAGTCAGGGATGGAGGGAGGGAGAGACGGGGAGATTTAGAACTTGAATGCTAGTCTTAAAAACTACACATAAGTGAAGTGCATTTGTGAATATATTTAGGGATATGTGTCACAAAATGAGGGTGTAAGTGGTGCTCCTTTGGAATGGTACCAGCTTAAAAACATTTGCAACATGTGTGCACATGGAGAAAAGGTATTCTGCAGAATATTTAAAACATATGGGTTTTGTTTGTATTTCTTCCAAATGTTTGAGAAAAGCGAACAACTTGTACCTGTATACAATCGTGACTATGAATGCAGTATTCTGTTTGAACAAAAAATGTATTTATGAGTGAGCCATAAAGCACCAAGAGAAATCATAATGTTAATAAGCAGGAGGCTATCAGGTTCCACATTAAGCCTCTCATACCTGAAACTCACTTCGCAATGAATAGCAAATTTAGCTTGATGGATTATGCAGTTTTCAATAAATATAAATTTAGGAGATCCACAGGAAGTGATGTAATAAA